CTAGTGGCAGTAGGATCCTTGGTTCTCGGACCAAATCTTCCACGCCCTCTTTCGAGTAGCCTTTGGTCTTTTTGGTTATGTTTTAGCTATGAAGTATAGTCACCCCAGATTCGCCCTTTTACAATACATGCAGCTGCAGGTTTTCACACTCACGCACTCAAATAATTAAATTACGTAGACCGATCAAATTATGTGCACTTATTATTGTAGGGAAATCGACTGTATATCATTTATCGCGTTAATTCGGCGAGACCATAAGTTTTTTTTGAAGGACCCGATTTTCAAAATAACGCTCACGAGCGTTATTTCGCGCTTATACAGTACAATAAATTTTTAATGATATATAATATTTGACGATGGTTATTAAATGGTAATCTAATAAGACAAAAGTGTACACAGTAATAAAGACAACACGTTTAAAGCATGCTGACATGTAATCCCGACAAGCAAAAATGAAAGCTTTTATTGGAGAATTTCAGCTTAGAGCCATGGGAATGTAATTAACCGGATTTCATTTAATAAATTATATAATATTATTGAAAAATTGGCAAAAGAGGATTTGGTTATGTATGTTTGGCAACTTGGTTAGATGGTATACAAAAATTTGATTATAATTGTGTAAATTGCATAAACCATCTTGTACAAAGCTATTGATTTTTTGTGTTTATTTGAAATTTGATTGGCTAGAGAACTTTTGGGTAGTAACATTATGTGGCATACTACATCAACTATCCCACAGCAATAAAACTTCAGGTACAGACAGTAGTATGTCATAGCCGTAATGCCGTAAATAGTCACTATGAGAATCTGCATCATTAATTGGTCACATGATTTTATCGAAGATTCTTATTGGTTAGCATATTAAAAAAATTAAAATTTTTAATCTCTACTTTACTGATACGTCCGGGATATGAGAACCGATTGTATGGTCTTAAATATTAATTTTAAATAATGCGTATAATTTGTTAATTAAAAACGTGTAAGCTTTGATCTAATACAAGATTATTTTGATCAGTTTTTAAAGGTTTTTTTTAATAAAAAGCAATAATTTTATTACAGATAAAAGTATAAAAAAAAATGGTCAATTTTTTTTTTTTTAGTTTTTAGTTTTTAATATTGGCTATTTTTTTATTTCTTGTTAATTCTACATCTCTTGCAATCAATACTAGTTAGTTTATAGTATTTATTAATTTTTATCATATTCGATAATAATTAAGTTCTTGGTATTTTCTAATCATATTTGAAGTTGACTTAGTTCTTGGTATCACTATTGCATTTGATAATGATTTAATTTACCAATATATTTGACATTCTTGATGCCCACTAATGCATTTAATGTTGGTTTATTTCTTGGTTTATTTGAAATTGAGTTGATTCTTGGTGTTTATGTTAAATGCTGGCTTAATTATTTGTGCTTGTTAGCTTGATTTATTTTTTCTTTAATATTAGCTGTTTTTTTAATGTTGTTTGATACTATATATATAAAAATATATATATTACAAGACTGGCTTTATCAGGGTATTGCCTCAATATTTAGCGTGATTGCGAATCGTGCGTCAATTTACAGTCCATGCATCCCAAATTGCAACTTACAATCGACAAGTTACGCTCGTCACCTGAAAATTGGCATCTGGGGTTGCGTCGGATTGCATCTGACGCAAGAATGCATCTGAAGCACAACATATGCAGTCAAACCTTTCTATATTCACCTCCCATATAAGCACTTTTTTTTATAAAGCTTATTTTTTAAAAACTATCTACTATTAAATATAATAAAGTTGACCTCTATAATTAGCACACTTCTCTATAATCACGCTTCTTTGTACCTGTGAGTGTGATTATAGAGAGGTTTGACTATATATATTGAGTTTTATATTTATCTCCTAATTAAGTCAAGATTTAAAATTTAGATATAAAATTAAGATTGTGCAAGTGTATCTAAATTGTCCATCTGAATAAAAATTATTGCGGCATTTAGTCAGCCGAAATTAGTTTTTTTATAGTTGCTGAAATTACCGGTAAGTTGAAATTATTGTCGAAATTTTTTGAGCATCAAAATACACCATATGGTATAGTTAATATTTGCTAAAAATACTTTTTTTTAAAAAAAATATATTTAGATAACGTACATAGCTGTTTTCAAAAAAGTATAACCAGGTGCGAACACTATATCATATGATTTCGAATAAAGAAAATCAAAGGAATTTGTGTGGATTTTCATGATACTGTATAATGATTTACACCTGGTTACACCTTTTTGAAAAAAGCTGTAAAAAAGAACTTAGTACAAAGTTTCTGTTATTTGTTTTAGAATTACGTTAAAATGTTTTTTAATAATTTTTTAAGTAAAAGTTATCTTTCCATTTCTCAAAAAAAAAACTTTTTTACAAGGTGATTTTATAGATTTTATATTATCTTACAATATTATTATCCTTTTATCAAAGATTTTTCTCCTTAGCTATAAGTTCATATATCTTCATTGGAAGGATTTGGATTTGGATTATCCACACATAATAGGTCTTGGGGGTCGTAAGTGAGTTTATTAAGATCGCCGGGAGGACAACGAGAAATTTCCGAATGCAATTTACGTCCACGTAGAATTAATTCTTCCGGCGATACAAGAATTCCCCAAAGGTCCATAGTTGGTAAATAATTGAAGTTTGGTAAATGACCGTCAGGTAGTCCTTCCAGTAGAATATCCTCTTCCATTAATGGAAGGAGCAAGGAAGTTTTATTAACCCCTTTATAGTGAACACCCTTCTCGGCATAATTAGTGGAAAAGCTAGTAGAATTTTCATAATTAGGATAAAGCATCACATAACCACGAAGGTATGCAAGCTCTATAAAGTAACGTTTCCAAGACCTGCTCCATCTATTTGATTTACTTTCTGGAATTTCTATTTGCTGTAATTTAGGACCAAAAACGTCAGTTAATCTAGCGGTCAGATAGTAATGGAATTCGCGCCATATTTCAGGAAAATATAAAGCACCCCAACTACAAGGTACTTGACTAAGATATGGTGATTGATTGGAGTATATCGTATCTTCTAAAATTTCAGCAGGTTGAAACTTTTTACGACCAGTCAGATTAAACTCATTCATTTTTATATTGTAAAGGCTGATACCAAACATTCTACCGACTAAATTTTGATCAATACCATATCTATATTTTAAGACGGTATATTTTGCCCATATATAGTAGAATGGAGAAACTTCAATATCATCTTCTAAA